TGAAGATACATTTTTTGGAAAACTTTAATGTTCGTGAGCTGCTTAACTTCTTTTGTATCTAGCCTTTTTTTAAGTATCTTGTTACAGTTTTTTAATAAAGAAATTACAGACAAAATACCAAGTCATACTGAGGAAACAATAGTTTTTATTTATTAAGCCATTTATACTTTAGCTAACAGCACACACTAAACATAGTTGGTCATTAAAAATCTGAATTTTGTAGCTGAAAAATTGACATGCAGAAGACATTTAGCCCACATTTTACAGTTAGCAGAGAATCCTGAAAGAAATGGGCCAGGCAACCCCTCCTTTTAACAGAATTGGTTTGAAGGAAAAGTGGCTTGTTCTGAAAAATCTCAAGGCAATTAGGTTAGAATAAAATTCTCAAACTTCATTGTAGTGAGTTCTACTGTATGTTCACTTTTGAAGTGCTTGGTTACTTTTGGGGAGGGCAGTCTTTGACCATAATCTAGGATTTCTTTTCCCTAAGGCTTGAGAGATTTTTGAGTTAGAAATTGGTTGATGAAGAAAGGAGCTACTTTTTCAGTGTCAAAATAAATTTACGAAAGCTTAGCAGACTGAAATATTGAGGAATAAGTAATGTTGTGGTGGTGATGTTCTTCTTTCTTGCTTCTCCAACCCCATTAGTCCATGTTAATGATTTTTTTTCCTCCCTTTTGTTGGCAAGAGCTGACGTAATGTTCCATCCAAATCCTAGTAGAACTCACCTTTGCCAGAGCTCCTCTGGGTTTTCCTTTCTGTCAGCTAGTTGTAGGATGACCAGAAGTTACCTACATCTGATTTTCAAAAAAGCCTCTTCACTTATTTAGTTGCTAAAGGTATGGAGTACAGTTGATACCACAAATTCTGATCACCAGTTGCCAAATTGATGCTGAAAATCCTTTTTTTTCTAAATAAGGTGGATTGTTTCAGGCTTGTGTAGTTAAACTGCAGATAAATAAATAGATGTAGAATTATTTCTGCAGGTACTAATACTTCCTTTAAATCGATCATCCTAGAAAAGGGTAGTTTCAATGTATGAGAATTGGAGCTAGATTTCCTGTTGTGACCTCCAGTCTATCTTCAGTTCAAAACGATTTTACTATGCTAAAAAGAAAAACAGTACAGCCTCACAAATCTAGGTAGAGTCATTTTAGTATAGAGAAAATTTATGCTGGTATGGCTGTTCTCTAATACTAAGGAGGATAAGTTACAAAGGTACAAAGCAACATCTACCTTATGCCTGGCTATCAAACTGCTGTGATTATTTCCACTACCAAAACTGCCTCTAACTGAAATGTGCAAAGTTAGCAGAAAGCAACAAAAGAAATTGTTTAGAATAGGCATCAAAACTCCAGTCTGTAAAATAAAGCTCCCTCCTCACAAAGCTTTGTGAGGCTTGATGTACTGAGAATTATCCAAGGCCCTTGGATGAAAGGCCATATATACATGTAAAGTACTGTGTATATATATATGTATTGTGTGTATATGTATATAAGTGTATGTGTATGTATAACATATAAATATATGTTATATGTATATATATTTCTGTATATAGATTAAGCATTTTTTAAGTCCTGTAATGTATAGCTAGACAAAAGTTATGCAGATAGCACAGTAGCTCACCATATATACACACACAAGGCATTCTGGTAAGCAGAGAGGGAATTTAGAATGATATATGCTGTCGTCAATGATTTGAAATATGTATGTAGCTTTATAAATAGCTTTTTTTCCTCTGTATGGTATATTTAAACTATATCAAGATTTTAATAAGAAAAATGTTTATTAAAATCATACACCTCCTCTCCCTTTGACTTAAGCCCTTCTGTTAGTTCACTTAAAATGTGGTAGAGAAACTAGTTAAATTCTGTAATGTTTAAACTTTTTTAAGTCTAAATCCTTAGCTGTTCACCATTGCTGAAAGAGGAGATAAAGGTAGCTACTAATAAAATGTTATAACCAACTACTAGAGTAGGTCCTAATCTGAATCTAGGGAAAACTTGGTACTTTAGTGCTAATTTCTGTGACTAATTCTTGGCTTTGGTTTCTTTTACTTAGCTAGCTGTATCCAGCAAAAGGTAAATCATTTGCTCCAGCTTTGATAATTTTCCAGGAATGAAAAATTGCCATCAAGTGGTCTTTCCCACCTGTGTGGTTTGGAAGTGGTTTTTCTTTCCTGCAAGTTAGTAATTTGGTCCCCAGATAACAAGCAGTGATAAAGCTGTAAACTGGCAATCTTGTGAATCCAAGCCAATACCCTTGCACAGCAGCATTCAGGGAGGCAGAGGAAAGGAAATTTTCCTCAACTCTTAAACAAGGTTTATCTTTGTATGCAGTTGTGCAAGCCATACAGACCTGCTGTTTTTCAGAAGTTTATTTCCATGCACGTGAAGGGAAGTGAGTAGTGAGCAGGGCTGCACCTCATGGTAGTTGGTGTGCAGGTGGGAGAAGTTCCCCAGACACCACCAACCACCTCCTGTGTGGTTGTTTCTCAGAGAGAGCCAGAATTCAGCACAGCTCCTGGTCACCCTTAACACCACATGAAAGATTGCTCACTAAGCTTGTGCTAACCTGCTCCTTTCTATGCTAACTGCTGTGCCCTGACTCCCTCTTTATAGGGTCCCACAGCCTGTGGATCATGTCGCTGTGTGCATCTCTAAATGCCATTCTGAGCTGCTTCTCTGTCCGTGCTCTTCGCTTCACTTGGATTTTTCTGGCTTCCTCTGTAAGGCAAACTGTGGATACCTTGTTTAGTAGCTCTGATTCCCTTCCTCTTTCAAACTTCATAGGATTTGACCTTTTTTCTGAACTCTTTGGTTTGCCTATTTAGTAACAGGTCTGCTAAAATCAAATAGAAAATTCTGTATGTCCAGATTAGCTGGATTTCAGCGCGTGTGGCATTATCTTATTCTGAGGTGGAAGGTTTGTCCACACATTAAAAAGCGTAGGTGAACGGGTTGTGTGAAAGCTTCAGTGACTGCCTGGAAGTCACAGTGCTGGAAGTTTCCACATGATCTCCGTGGGGAGGACATGAACAGGCTTCGCAGCTGCAGTGTGGCCTCCATCACAGTGCAGTCATTGCCCAGCAGGACTTCTGGCATTTATCAGGAGTTCTGATGGATCCTTTGCTAGATGGAAATTGCTTTTGTGGCTTTCATTTGCAGTTATTTCAGATTTGCTGGACCGAGAAGCGTGGAGGGCTTTTAACTTTTTATAAATTATTTATGGATTTTTTGTGGAGTTGTCTAAGAGGGTAACTTCATGTCATGCTTAAAACACGATCCTGTGAGAGATTATTTCCCCCCTTTGTCAATGGCTTAACATAAAGGTATTTTTAGTCTATTATCACCACAAACTATTATTATATTAGTAGACTGTTTAGCATAACAAGAGGCAGTTGGTTGCTCCCAGGTGTTTCAGGGCTTTTCCATATTGGTGAAACTCTTCAGTGTCCCTTTGTCCAGTGGTAGAGGCAGCTAACCAAATGAGTGTGCTTGAATATTGCAGTCATGTTGGAAAAGAGATTGTTGCCACAACCTATGGTGAGGTTCCTCTGCATGGAGACTGCAAGGAGACTTAAAGAAATTTAATGCTTTAGACATACTGAAATAATTCACCAATTGGTTTTCTGAGAGGGGAACGGTGCTAAGTTGAAAAGCAGATTTCACTTTATCAATGAAAATTCTTCCATTTACCTGAAATGGCATTTTCATATATAAAATTAGACTTATAACCCATTGTAAAAGGCAGCTGAGTATTCCCCCAAAAAGTAACACCTTTTGGAGGAGGGAAGAAAGAGGTAGGACAGTTAAAACAGTGATGATTACATTTGCCACAGCAGTGAGGAACTTAAGGGAGGAATACAGCTTCCACCACCAGGGAGCTTGTTCTAAACAGGACATTGTAGGTACAGCTGAGTAATCTGAAATCTTGCAAAATTGTATATATAATGCTGTATTTCATTTGTATGTGCTTGACTGTATTTCAGTGCTGTGTACCTGATTTAATTTTTATAAAACAAAGCTAACAGAAGTTGGCAGATTTTTGTGGAGGTGCAAGAACAGCCACATGCTGTTTGGTTAATCCTTTCCAGGATTTTTCTTTTTTTGTGCATCTTTAGGCACCACGTAAGTAAACATAAGGGCAGGTGTTTAGGAAGTTATCTCCAAATACTTGAACAATTCTCTATTGCTAATTATATTAATTTATGGTAGCTCTTAATCCCTGTCAGGATAGGGCATTTCCTTATTTAGGAAACTCTGAAACAGTAGCCAGGACAATGAGATTTGGGGGCTAAGGCAACTGGTAGACCAGTCAATGTCATTTAATATGAATACTCTGCTGCTTGTTGGTTTGGGTTCCACAAACTCATGCATCTCCCCCTTAAACCACCAGCAAACTCTGTATTGCACACACCAACAGAATTGGTCTATAAATGGGTCAATCGGGTTTGCTCTGCATCAGTCAGTGTTCCTCTGATTGCTCTGGACAAAAACCTGGAATCCCTGGTAGTCCATATACTGATATGAGTGCAGCTGTTGTTGGATGTAAAGATAAACAGCTTGTGTAGGTATCTCTGGGAAATAAAACTTCAAGGATGTCTCAGAAATAACAGTACTCAGGTAACAGCAGATAATGTGAATCCACCTTTTCTCCTTTACTTTTTGTGTGTTCCTGCTGTGCTTGTAATTCACTTGCTGCTCAGACACGTGCTCAGAAATGTAAGAAAACCAGAGCTGTTCTTCTGCTTAGTCACAGATCTCACCACGGAACTTTTCTTCTCCCCTGCCCTGGTGAGGCCCGGGCGTCTCTCCCAAGGCACAAAGAAGCCGCAGGACACAGCTGCAGCCCAGAGGAGCCCAGCTGGCCTGACTCCCCCTTCCCGTGCTTGGGAATGGAGAGAGGGGAGGTGCCTTTAAAAGAAAATACCCAAAATTCTTAAGGGCACACGAATTCTTAAAGCAGTACCGAAAGGTACCTTTCTAGAAAGCGGACACCCGAATCTTTTGAAGCTCTCTCTGCTTGCAAGAAGGGAGAGAAACTATCAATGGTACTGCCACTGACGGGCCCTTGCGAGCGCCTCCCAGCCTGCGACTGCGTTTGTTATGCAATTGCTGAGTCCTCCCCGGGGGAGGAGCGGCCTTGGCCATGGCCATTCCCCCTTCCTCCGCCGCCGCCCCTCACGGAGCAGTCCCGCCAGCCATGGGCGAGTGCCGGGGCCCGGCGGCGCCGCAGGAGGCGGCGGGCCCGGAGCGGGTAAGGCCGGGCCGGGCCGGGCAGGGACCCGCTGCTTCGGACAGCCCTGGAAAGGGCATGGGCCGGTCCCCCCGCGCCCTTGTCCCGGCCGGGCTCGGCGGGGCCGGAGCGCTCGGGCACCGCGGGCCCGGTCAGCGCGGGCAGCACCTGCGGCAGATGCGGGCCTTCGACCGGAGGCCGCGGGCTGCTTGGCCGGGTCCGGGTCCGGGCAGTGCTGCGCCTGCCGGGGCCGGGAAGGAAGAGCTCGTCCTTTCTGCCCCGAGCCGCCATGGAGGCAGGTGTGCGGTTTGGGGATGTGCCCGGCTTCCCAGGGCCTGTGGACCAGGAAGGTCTGCCCCTGGGAGGTGTCTGAGCTACGTTCTGCAGTACCCCCAGTATAACCATGCTAAGCCAGGCTGAGGTGTTCGAGGAGAAAGGATCATCATGGCAGGGAAACCCAAGAATCCAAAACTAGGTGTGCCATGTTAAATACAAGTGTAAGAAACCCCTTACTGTGTCCCCCTGAACAGTGACGTGCTGTACCTGTAGTGAAGTGTGTGGTAGTCCTGTGATCCCCTCAAGCACGTGGAACCAGCAGGTGTTGTGCTCCTCAGTCTCTACAGGAATGGTGTCGGTTTTCCCAGTCTCACTGCTGGCATGGCCTGCGCTGCCCAGGGCTGGCCTGGGTGCTTTGGGAGCTCGTGAGATGCACATGCAGCCTCTTAACTAGGGTGTGTGAAGGTTCGTGGTCCCATACCACTGAGTGTGTTCCACATCACAGTGCTGGCTCTGCCAGCACCTTTAGCTTTTTGCCTGGCTACAGCTGATGTAACTGTGATGCTTGCACATGTACCCCAGCAGCTGTAGCTGTGAGGTGGTGGTTGTATGTGTATACATATGTTAATTATTTCCTAGTTTGCTGAATTTGAAATTAATGGAAGGCATTTCAGTACCCCTAAGCAGTTTTTGTTGTCCATTTGGTTTATTGTCATCACTAGAAGAGCTTGTCTCTCACAGTTGCAGAATAACTGGGATGTGATGTACTGGAGTGTGTCCAGCAAAGGGCTGATGATTAAGAGACTTCAGCATCTGTTATACAAAGAAAGGCTGTGAGTGCTGAGACTGTTCAGCCTGGAGAAGACTCCAGGGGATTTTGTGAGTGGGTGAAAATACCTAGTGGAGGGAATAAAGGAGACAGAGCCAGGCTCTTTTCAGTGGTGCCCCATGGTGGGACAAGGGGCATTGGTCACACACTGAAGTACAAGAGGTTGCATTTATGTGTGAGAAAACACTTGTTTTTTCTGAAAGTGGTCAGATGCTGGCACAGATTTCTCACAGAGGTTGTATAGTCTACATCCTTGGAGATACTGAAGCCTCATCTGGTTGACCCTGCTGGTGCAAGGGTTGGCCTGTGCCCACCAGCTTCAGCTCTTTTGTGTGTTTGGATCATATTGTCTGAACAGAACGAAGCATGTACACATTATAAACTGGGTGCCCTTTGTCATTATGGTGAGTGTTGATTGTTTTATGCACTATCATAGCATTAAGAAAAAGATCTGGGGTGCAGATTGAAGGAAGTTGACATAGTGACTTCTGTCTTCTCCTGCCCCTCACCCTCCTGCCAGTGCCCCTGGATCCAGGAAGGCAAGGCAGGGAATGCATTATGCTCCTTCAGCACAAGGTGGTGACTGCTCAGAAGCCTCAGCAGTGATCAGAATGTGCCACACACTTGAAACTGAGTTAGAGAAGATGGGATTATCTTGTAGCCACTGTCTGCCTGCCAACAGGAGCTTGCCTGTGAAACTCCTCTGCACTCTGAAGGTGATAAGGGAGGTGGGATGTGGGTTGAGCAGGAGGTATAGTATGGTGTAGCCTCTGTGACTGACCTTTCCTTTTTTAAAATTAAAAAAACCCAAACAACCAAAACCATCTATTTAATAAAATACTGGTACAGTTTTTAAAATTGCAAGCCAGCCAGCCTCACCTGAATCCCTGGAAAGATGATGGGATGGCTCGTCCTGCAGTCCATCTCTAAGCACGTGGAAGACAAGACAGTCATCAGGAGTAGTCACCATGGATTCACCAAAGGGGACTTGTGCTTGACCAATCTGATTACCTTCTGTGAGGGGACAATTGGCTGAATAGACAAGGGAGAGCGGTGGATTTTGTCTACATGGGCTTTAGCCAGGCTTTTGCCAATGTCTCCCATGGTACCCTCATAGGCAAGCTCAGGGTGGTGAGGTGGATTGAGCACGGGTCTAGTTTCAGGGCTGTCACTGGTTGTGTCCCCCAGGGTTCAATGCTGGGCCCACTGTTCTTTGACTTATCCATCAGTGATTCGGATGAAGGGGCAGAGGCCTCCTCAGCAAGTTCACTGATGGCACAAAGCTGGGAGGAGCAGCCGATACCCCAGAGAGCTGTGCAGCCCTTCAGAAGGACCTGGGCAGGCTGGAGAGATGGGGAGAGGAATAGTCTGAAATTCAGCAAAGACGAATGCAGGTCTGAGGAGGAATAACCCTGGGAACCAGTACAGGATGGGGGTGACCTGCTGGAAAGCAGCTCTGTGGAGAAGGATCTGGGGGTCCTGGAGGACAGCAGGCTGTCCCTGAGCCAGCAGTGGCTGTGGACTTCTGCAGGTATTTCCATTAGGAAAGACTTTTGCAGTATTTCCATTTTCAAGGATGTCAGCTGATGCAAAACCAGATGGAGTTGGCTGGATACCAGCCCCTGAGCAGGTGTGTGCTGTGACAAGGTGCTGAACCTGCCAACCCCAAATTTTCCCAATTCCACTGAGTTATTGTAACTATCTATGTCCTGGGAAGTAAACAAGGTCTTCAATTCTCATGGCCGTCACCAGACTCTGCAAGATGATGCTGGGAAATCTGTATCATGTAATTGAGTAATATTTAAAAATAGAATAAAGGGGTAGAATTGTAACCAGAATGTGTTTCAGTGATGTATTCACTGGGCATCTGGGGTATCTGTGCCATCTGGGGTAGCTATGCACGTGCACATATGTTTGGGTTTTGTTTGTTTTTTTGAAATCTGAATGGCATTATTTGTTTGAGAATATTTTCCAAATTGAAGTAAAGGAATGATTTTTATTATGTGAGTAGTTACAAGCAGACTGGGTAGGGAAAGGACTTCCAGATACCTCCAGGAAGGTAGAAATAATGGTGTTCAAAACCTTCAGCTCCCCTTCTCTGCTGTATTATATGGAACACCTTGTATACTGCCTGTGGTTAGTTATCATCTGCAGCAGTGTCGGTGGGATCTTGGAACCAGAGAGGCATCCTGCTTGCTGGACTTCTGATCAGTGTGTGTCACCAGCCCTCCTGCAGGGGTTGCAGTGTGCTGTCCTGACAGCTCTTCACAGCAGTTGTTTCTAGGAGGTGCTTGGTGACCTGTCTGCAGGGATGCAGGGGTTGATCCTGGGAGCAGATGTCCCCAGCCAGAGGTGAGGTGAGGTGAAGGCCCTGCTCAGAGTGCTCTCTGCTACTTTTCACCTTTTCACTGGCCTGTTTCCTGAATATCAGCTGTCCCCAGCTCCCCAGCTTGGCTTCCTTCTCTGAGGAAGAGCTGTGCACAGATGTCCTCTGGAAGCATACACTGAAGGATCAGTGTGGAGATGGGTGACTCCAGGCAGAGGTTTTCCTGCTGCCAGCTGCTGGGAAGAGGCACCTTAGCTTCATATCAGCACTTGAGGGAGAGCCTCCAGACCCACGCTGTTGTGTGGGCTGCCCTCACAGATTGCGTACACAAACCTCCATGCTGAGACTCGCTGTGGCACAGGGCTGTCCTCTGTCAGTTGGGATTAGTTACTGTGATCTCATGGCTTTCCTAAGGCAGTCCACCCAGGTTCTAATGGCTGAACCTGCAGCAGATGGCTGCAGGTATGTGGGCAGTGGGCCCGGTGGAGCTGTGCTGGTGGCAGCCTGAGCGCGGTGCCGTGACCTCACTCGTATCTCCCCGTGTGTGGGACCGCAGCGGCTGATGTCTCCCAGGGCAGATTTCCCCTGTGTGCTGCAAGGGCTTTGTCTGGGGCGCTCAGGCGCTTCCTGGCGCCCGCACAGCTGGGAGGGAGCAGAGAGGGCGCTGGGCGAGAGCTGCGCTGGCAGAGCCGGGCGGGCAGCGCTGATGGAGGGCGGGGGGACACCGACCCCAGGGGGCCGGGTGAGGGTCTGTGTGACACGGCTGAGCTTCAGACCGCACCTACGGGATTGTGTGAGCAGGAGGAATAAATGGTGGTAACTTCAACCAGAACTGTGCTTTATTTTCAGAGCTCATCGAGTGCTGCTGAAAATGGCTCTGACCTTGATGAGGAGCCTCTGCTCAGAAAAAATCACCGCCGGTTCGTCATCTTCCCCATCCAGTATCCGGACATATGGAAGATGTATAAGCAGGCTCAGGCCTCCTTTTGGACAGCAGAAGAGGTGAGCCCTGGACCAGTGGGTTGGCAAAAGGTAGTCAGAGCACCGGGGTCCTGGCACGTTTTTCCTAGCTCTGCTGCTGGCTTCTGTGTTGCAAAGGCTGGAATTAATTTAATCAAACATTAGGTGCCAGCACCAAAGCAGAACTCCCTTCATCAACAGTGGAAAGCAAGCTGCTTCCACAGGGTGATTCAGCAGAGCTGTTTGAGGTGCTTAGTTTAGGATGAGGTGGAATTGTGTCCTGGGGTGCTTCTCTGGTTATAGAGAAATCCTAAGTCAGATTGTTCTGATTCATGGTCAGATAGCTCCTACTGTGCTGTGGTCTGAACCTGTAACTGACTCCTTGCCCATGTAAGATGCTCTGGAAAATTTCATGCTGTTAATATTAGGTACCTAAATTTACAGACAGACAGTTTTGCTAAAAACGCATTTAGCTGACTGCTGATTGCCCTGGTGAGGTGCTTGCCCCATGTTACAGTGCAAGCTCTAAGTTCTTTCCCGAGGCTGCTGGTTAGCTAGACCTTTGCTCATTTGTGGGCAGTGGTCTGCAACTCAGAGGAGTGAGATGAAAGCACTGGCAGGCTCTGTATAGACCAGAAGGCATCATGGGATGATGAGGAGCTGCTGTTTGTGGAGGTGGTATTGCATTGCCTGGCTGGGCAGCTTGCTGCCCTGTTGCAGCAGATCTTCATTTAAACCATTAAAGAAAAAGCATTTGAACTCCTGCCTTTCCAGCATTTCCCTTTTACTATGTTACTGGTTTCTACACTGTCCTACCTTCTGTGGGTCCTCTGCATTTTTCACATCGAACTCTAGTTTAGTGCTGTTTTGGTTCAGAAATTCTACAAACAAACAGAAAAGGCCCATGTGAAGGAAGCTGTGGTTTTCTCTCATGGCTGGGGTTTGGTCTGATAGACAGGAGCAGTTGCAGAGCATTTGCTCCATACCATTCTTTGACAATATGAAGGCTGAACACCTGCCAAAGGCAGAAGTCCCCTCAGTCCATCTTTTGACACGCTTGGGTACAGCTTTCTTGGAGTATCAGCATTTATTTCAAGTGAAGTTTTAGTGTCTCAGAATGAGGTCTCGTTACTGGTGTGTGTTCATACTTGTGACAGAAAGATACTAAGGCTTTTCAAAATCTCATTTATTTATTCAATAGGTACCAATTTTTATTCCAAATTACAAAAGTGTAAACTGTGAAAGAAGTACATGATGTTACTGTTGCAGACAGAGACAGCAGTACTGCAGTGTCTCTGTTGTCTTTTACAGTCACAAATATTTAAATTCCCTACATGTAAAGATTTGAAAGCAAATGGCAAAACTCTGCCTCAATCACTTGACTGGGCTGCTTGTTTTTACAGAATGACAAATGCAGAAGAACAATAATATTTTCCTTTTTTCTTTTCATTAGGTTGATTTGTCAAAGGACCTTCCTCACTGGAACAAGCTGAAAGCAGATGAAAAATACTTTATCTCTCATGTTCTGGCGTTTTTTGCAGCCAGTGATGGAATTGTAAATGAAAACCTGGTGAGAAAGACTTAGAGAGGGCTTGAATACTTAGTCATGTTATTGTCTTATTAATTTTCCATTTTGGCTTTTTCACATTAATTCATAGGTTTATTAAATGTGTACTTTTTTTCTTTCTACCTCACCTTTTTCAAGTGGAACAAGGAGCTTGTTTGTCTGGGAGCGGTGTTTGAGTTGAATTGGGTCAGCTGTGGTCATCAGGGCTCCAAATCACATCACTCTGGGACACTGTTTATAAGTTCAGCCCCTGCTTGGCTGTGGGATGTACATTTCTGAATGAATTAATGTAACCCCATATTTTTCTGTACTCATGTTAATTGACAAGTAGGGAATACAGACCATGGCCATGTCGTGTATTCCTCATTTTTGGTAAAATCTGTTTTGTTCTCACTGAACAACATCCTAGAATCTCTTAGGGCTGCAGGTGGGTGCTGCTAAAAAGGTGGGGAATTCTTCGTGTTGCTATCTGTTCTGGACTGGAGAATATCTCATCACAGTAGTATATGTCTGCAAATGCCCAGTTTAAATCTCAAATTTTTGAATGTTTATAACATGTAGTATATATGTGCACGTATTGCATGAACATGCCTTATATCATGCTCTTTGTACTTTTAATGATGAACACAAAGTCTGAGGCTTTGTTCAGTACCGTTTAGGACTGCATAATTTTGTTGTTCTCCTGTGTATGTGTGCCCTTCAGCTCTTAGATGTATTTACTTCTGTATTTACTTGCTTTATTTTCTTTTTTATTTTCTTCTGCACCACAGCTCTCCTATTGACATGTCTGTGAACAAAGTGGGACAGAACTGCTCCCATCCTGTCTCTGTAGCAGAGATTTGTTGTCTCACCTGTTGAGCTCAGAGTAGTGACATTGTATTGCATGCTTTCTGGTTTTGGCAGGTGGCACGTTTTAGTCAGGAGGTGCAGATCCCAGAAGCTCGTTGTTTCTATGGCTTTCAGATTCTCATTGAGAATGTTCACTCAGAGATGTACAGCTTGCTCATAGACACCTACATCAAAGATCCCAAGAAAAGGTAAACCTCTGGATGTGTAACAAACCTGTGGGAAATTTGTGGCTGAAGCCAGTGACAGTAGCATGGCAGCTGTCTCCTGTTTTCATACTGACTTTCTGGGGGAATTGGGGAAAGTTCCTTAAAGCTTTCAAGGCCTGCATGTCTGACCCCCAAAATGGAGAGGAGTATTACTGACCAAGGCTTATTGTGGGAGTATCAGAAGGTTAGTTAATATTTGTATAAATCTTTTGTTGCTGGAAGCATGGAGTATATGAAATGTTAAAGGTTAGATGAGTTCCTTGAGGTCATCATGCTCTTGCAGTGCTTGCTCTTACATCCACAGAGGATCAGCCTGGGGAAATTGAGTGCTCATGATCAAAGTGGTGTTTCTAATATACAGCAATCAATGTATTGCATCCTTTCAGCCTTTTTGTTGTCAGTGCTTTTTAATGCAATCTGAACTGCTTAGTTTTGAATGATTGACTTCACCTTTTTTGTCTGAAGAACTTCCTGGTCCAAAGGGAACACATTTGAAAAGCGGCACTTTCCCTCAGAGACTCCACCATGGTGATGGTCAGGCAGAGCTTGCTTTCCCACGGTGGCATCATGTGCTGGTGATGGTGGGAGGACTGCAAGGTTTCCTTTCAGGTTTTCAGCATAGGAACAGAGTCTGTACATGTGGGACTTGTCTAGTTTCTTTTGTGGAGTTGGGCAAGATGAGGTTGTGCTCTATGGATAGTCTGAAGTAGCTGGCTTCAAGTCTGAGAGAGACTGTGGTCTGGTGGGTGAGCACTCCTGGGATGGGATGTTTGAGTTCACAGCCTTCCTCCCCTGAGCCCTTGGGGATGTTGCTTTCTGCACACTGGCCTCCCTCTGCCCTTCTTATCACAGGTGACATTGTGGTTTAACCTGGCAGGCAGCTGACACTACACAGCAGCTCACTCACTGCCTGCCCCTGCCCAGTGGGTTGGGAGAGAATTGGGGAGAAAAGTAAAACTGGTGGTTTGAGGTAAAGGCAGCTGGATAGGACAGGAAAGGAAAATAATAATAATAATAATAATAATAATAATAATAATAATAATAATAATAATAATAGACAAAACAAGTGATGCACAAATCAGTTGCTCACTGGTCCCTGGCCAGCTTTCCCCTAGTTTACATTCTGAGCATGACATCATATGGAATATCCCTTTGAGCACTTGGGGTCTGCTGTCCTGGCTGTTCCCCCCAGCCTGCTCGCTGGTGGAGTGGGGTTAGGAGCTGAAGAGTCCTGGACTTCGTGTAAACACTGCTTAGCCACAACTAAAACATCAGTGTGTTATCAGCATAATTCTCATTCTAAATATAAACCACAGCACTGTACAAGCAACTAGGAAGAAAATGAACTCTATCCCAGACAAAGGCAGGACAGCTCATCACCTTTTTGGAGTGGGAGTGGTCTCTTAATGGATTTGTTCAGAGCCTTGCATAATGGGATCCTCTGTCTAGTGGAGCTGGAAGGGACAACCAGGGCAGATTTACCTAAATCACTATTTTGGTGTTTTGTCTCTGTTTTCTTCTATAGGGATTTCTTGTTTAATGCTATTGAAACAATGCCTTGTGTTAAGAAGAAAGCAGACTGGGCTCTGAAGTGGATTGAAGACCGAGAATCCACTTTTGGTGTGTAGCTTTTTATAAACTTGTTTCTATTGCATATCACAAACTGACCTTCTGTGAGTAAGTTGCACCCCTGGAACATGAAATGAAATTCTTCACAGATGTAGTGACTTCTGGGACTCTGGTTTAACTAAAGAACTAGAAGTAAATTCTGGTAAGCTTGTATGTTTTTATCTTCAGGTAGAGAAATAAAGAAATGGCAGTGCCCCCTGAAATCATGTTATGAAAAATGCCATGTCTTTTTTTGTCTTTATATTGAATAACCCTTGTTTCCTCAATTCTTTTGCTTGTAGACCTTATGTTCTGGTTTTGATTATTTCTTCTAGTTGGTTCTTATTTTTCACTCAGTGTTCAGAACTGGGCAGCTGAAGTTCTTGCAAGTCCAGGTATTTTATATGTTCATGTTCCTATAGAGAAATCCATGGAATTTTTTGTAACTGAGGCATGACTGAGCCTGGACAGAAAAGATTCAAGAACCATCTATTTTCTGGTGTTTCTGGTTTGCTGTTGGGACCAGATTTCTAGTTTTTGTATCTCATTTCAGAGCTGGGACAGTGGCTCAGCTTCCATCAGCGTGCTGCAGGACATCCTTAGAAGTGTTCTGCAGTCTTACAGAAAACTTGGAAGGGTTTTCTGTAGCTGAAATGCATAATGGGTGCACTCTGGTGAATCTTTTAAAGCAAACATCCTCTATATCTTGAGAAGGTGTAGGAGATGGAGAGATTCAACCTGGTGAACCAAATAAATCTGAACATCATTCTTTTGCAGCCTCTGTTCACAGCTCTTGTTTGAGGGAGGTTCTTTTTTGTAGCTGTACATTGTTGTGTCCTGGAGCTCCCACTGGCTCCCTGGTCTGGCTTTGCTTGCTGAGTGTGAAACCCCTTCATCATTTCTTTGTTTGCTCCCAACGGTGTGGGGTGTGCCAGGAATCAGAAAGTTCCTTAACTCAAAAAGCAGTGTGCCCCCTGCCCCCAAACTTAATGCATTTTATCCAAATAAGTAGTCAGTCTTCTGCTTCATTAAACCTATATTTTATAAGCAGTCTTTCTTTATTCCTCTGTAGCAGTAACCTACAACATTTTTAGTGTTGCCAGAAAAATTCTTTAATAACTTCTGTGATACTTGTAAGGTGTTATTGCTCTCTGTGCTTTTTCCTAATTTGAATTTCTTCAGATGAGCCAGTTGACTTTTGTATCTCATAGAGGAAGTAGGACATCTGGCTAGTTTGGGTTATTTTTTAAAGCAAAATTCTGTGCAGTTCTTATTGGGAAAAGGCACCAGAACTTAGTGCCAAAACTCTTCATGTCAGAACATACACAGTGAGGCTGTGAAGTTGTTTGAGGTAGTGTACATGGAGTGATGTGGCTTCACTAAAATGTCAGATAGTCTTGTAGTCTGAAGAAATACATTCATGTAGAGAACAGGGGGAACTGGGACCAATAATGCCTTGCTTTCCTCAGATTAAGGGTGGGATAACACAAATAGTTATTTGTGTCTTGACTTATGTTCTGTAGACTTTCACTCTTTTAAGAATATGGTTTTATGTAGATGCCGAACAAGAAGAAATTGTGGTGTAGGGTTTTTTGTTTAATTTATAAGAGGTTGGCCATTTTCTCAGTTTTGGCTGTCAGTTACACAGCTGCTTTCCTGCCTCTCAGGAGAAAGAGATAATGGAGTACTAATGTCTTGGCCACTTTGGACAATTACCTTATTTTGCTTCTGACCCGTGGCAGTTTCAGTGAGTGGTTCTTCAGTTCTGCTGGGGTTGCCTGTGGCTGAGTGCTGTGGGGTGTGTAGACCCACTGTGCCTCAGGATCTGCTGACAGATGTGGTCAAAGACAGCATCTGGTGCTGCAAGGGAGATTGCTTTTCTCCAGCATCACTCTGTCTGATGCAAACGGTGCCTCTTGCTGATGAGCAATAGAGCAATTTGTGTCTAACAAAAAATGTGTTATGTTAAACAGGTGAGAGAGTGGTTGCCTTTGCTGCAGTGGAAGGCATCTTCTTCTCGGGTTCCTTCGCTGCTATATTTTGGCTGAAGAAGAGGGGCCTGATGCCTGGATTGACTTTCTCCAATGAACTTATTAGCAGAGATGAGGTAATGTGGCATAACCTACACACTGTTTGGGAAGAAAAGTGAGTTTCCAGGACAAGGGTAGAATTATATTTATGAAGAACCTGTAGTTTTGACAGAGGAAGGGGAAAGAAGCAGACTTTTACCAATAATTATGGAATCATAGAATCATTTAGATTGGAAAAGATCTTTAAGATCACTGAATCAAACTGTTAACTTGCCACTGCCAAGCCCAACCCTAAACCATGCCCCTAAGTGCCACATTCAGTGTCTTTTAAATACCTTCAGGGATGGTGACTCAACCACTTCCCTTGACAGCAATTTCCATGAAGTTTTTTGTAATATCAAATACAATCCCCTGCTTGATGCAACTTGAGGCTATTTCCTCTTGTCCTGTTGCTTGGGAGAAGAGGGGAGCCCACACCTCACTACAGCCTTCTCTCAGGCAGTTGTAGAGAGCTCTGGTCTCCCCTGAGCCTTCTTTTTTCCAGCATAAACACCCCCATTTCCCTCAGCCAATCCTCCTAAGACTGGTGCTCCAGACCCTTCACTAGCTTTATTGCCCTTCCCTGGACTTGCTACAGCACCCCAATGTCCTTCTCCAAAACTGAGCACAGGATTCAAGATATGACCTCACCAGTGTCATGTACAGGAGGGTGATCACTGCTCTGGTCCTTTTGCCACACTATTCCTGACACAAGCCAGGATGCTGTTGCCCTTCTTGGCCACCTGGGCACACGCTGGCTTGTGTTCAGCTGCTCTCAACCAGCACCCTCAGGTCCTTTTCCACTGGGCTACTTTCCAGCCACTCTGCCCAAGTCTGTAGCACTGCAGGAGGCTGTTGTGGCACAAGTGCAGGACCTGGTGTTTGGCCTTGTGGAACCTCATACCATTGTCTTCAGTCCATTGATCCAGCCTGTCCACATCCCTCTGCCTTCCAGCCTCCAGAAGATCAACATTTCCACCAAACTTGGTGTTTTCTGCAAACTGACTTAGGGTGCACTCAAGGCACTTTACCACTCATAAAAATATTAAACAGGACTGGCCACTCAGGCCAGTAACATATATATATATATATATATATGCGTACATAACATAACTGAGCCCTGGGGAACCCTGCCTGTGGCCAGCCACTAACTGCATTTAATTCTTACCACATTTTTTGGCCTGGACATCCAGCCAGTTTTATATCCAGCAAACCGCACTGATGAACTTAAGGCTTGGGTGCTGCTGGGTTCCTCAGCAAAAATGCCTGTTTTTAAAGGGAGCAAACATACTGGTGTCCCAATTGTGATTCAACCCCAGCCAGCAATCAAGCCCCATGCAGCCACTCTCTCACTCGCCCACCAGTAGTATCTCTCCCCAGGGAGAGAATTGGAAGGGTAAAAGCTGGAAAACTTGTGGGTTGATATGAAGACAGTTTAATAGGGAAACCAAAAGTCACACACACGAGCAAATGAAAACAAAGAATTAATTCACTGTTTTCCATGGGCAGGTGTTCAGCCATCTCTAGAAGAGCAGGGCCCCATGAGGTGCAACAGTGACTTGGGAAGGCAAATGGCATTACTCCAAACACTGCCCCCTTCTTCCCCCATTTTATATACTGAATGCCACATGGTCTGGACTGTCCCTTTGGTCAGTTTGGGTCACCTGTCTCAGCTCAGGACAGGTGTTGTGTCTCCTCCCAACCTCCTATGCACCCCCAACTTCCTCACCCTTGCGGCAGTACAAGAAGCAGAAAAGGCCTTGGCTCTGTGTAAGCCCTGCTCAGCAATTGCAAAAACATCTATTTATTGTCAGCCCTGTGTTCAGCACAAATCCAAAACACAGACCCATACTGTACTTCAGGAAAACCAACCCTACCCCAAAACAGCACACCAGCCAAAACCAGCACACCAGTGTATATAGTATTATCAAAAAGATGGATTTTTTAGATTGAAGGGGGTGTTTGTTTTCCTCTGCTGTGAAGGGAGGCAAAGGCCCAGCTGCTCAAGGAGTGGGGTGGAATTGCAAGGTCCCCAGCTGCAGGGAGGGGCTGCCTGGAGCAAGGACCTGGGTAGTGTGTGACTCTGAGACTCTGAGCCTCAGCTGCTTCAGAGAGATTCAGGTGGGCTCCCAGCACCACTCCCTCCTGCTCCTGCTTGTGGGTCCCAGAGCTTGCAGACAGCTGCCTGCATCCATCACCAAGGCAGCTGTGGCAGGTTGCTGCAGAAGCAGCAGATACCACTTCTCTCCATGGTCTTGTGCTGCTGCACAGCAATAGAATCTCCTGGGAGGGGGCAGCTGCAGATCTGCCTTTGAGGAGAGTGCTTCTTAACTTAAGATGTGAAGTGTCTGAGGGGCTGCATGTCAGCGCACCAAATATGACAGACCATGTGCTTACAAGTGCCCCTTCTTTTCACTGCTTCCTTCCTTTCTTTTTCCTTGCTCCCTGCAAGTTGGCAGCTGTTGTTTATGGCTGGGGACTGTGCATTGCACAGCACTGAAAAAGTAGAAAGACCAGTTTTGTCTGCTGTATAAACATGTTAGTGGTTGTAACTTAGCAGAGTTGGTCTTAATGTGTAAAGAGCTTTTTTTTATAATGGAAGTGATTTTCATGGGCTAGAAAAATTGCTTTGAAATGAGACATCTTTTCATATGTCTTTAAAAGACACTTTTGAAGAAAGTGATATGATGAGTAAGGAAAAAACAAATATTTCTTCAGCCTTCGCCTTCTTTGTGTCTTCTGTGAGTAATCATGAACTGAATCATTTGAGTGAGGCAGATTTGTTTGTTACAAGGATCACTTTCAGGTGAGTGAATATAACTGTACTTTTCTGCAGAGTCGAGCACCAAAAGACTAAAGTTTTCTTGAGCTCTGCTGGAATAATTGCAGCTGCAGTGCTGTTACAAAGGTTAAAGCTTGGTGCACAGAGCACCTGCATTGAAACCCAGTGGCAGTAAAAAGAATCCACAATGGAAAACTACAAACTGTTTTTTGATGCACCTGGACAGATCAATGATTAACGTTCAGTGTGTTTTTTGAGCTGCTGTTTCTGCTCCCAGGCTGTTGTTGAGCTGGTGCATCTCTGATACTTAAAGGTGCAAAGCTGGTGGGAGCACCAGTCAGCAGAGCACACGGGTTCATGGAGAAGCCAGGCATGTCCTGCATCCTGCTGGTGATGTTGCCCTGGATAAGACCATGGGAAGCCTTGCAGCAGGCAGCTAATGCAGTCACTAGAGGGGGGGATATTTCCAAAATTACATTACTTCATGACCTTAATCAGAAGGATTTTATAGCCTTTCCAAAAAGGTTTTCACAGAATCACAATATTGTTAGGGTTGGAAGGGTCCTCTGGAAATCCAGGCAGGGTCACCTGAAGCAGGTGACACAGGAGTGTGTCCAAGTGGGTTTGGAATGTCTCCAGAGAGGGAGACTCCGAAGTCACCCTGGGCAGCTTGTTCCAGTGCTGTGTCACACTTGACGTAAAGAAATTCTTCCTCATGTTGAGGTGCAACTTCTTGTGTTTTAGTTTACAGCCATTGCTCCTGATCCTGTTGCTGGGCACCACTGAAAAGAGTCTGGCACCATCCTCTTGGCACCTACCTGCCCTCGCTTCAGCCAAAGACAGGGTTAATTTTTTGCAGTAGCTGTGAGGGGGTAGAGCCTGAAGCTGTGTGGGTAAGACCCTAATGTTATTGGGTGCCATCTCAGGTCATTGACAGGAGTGGGGAAAAGGGGCTCCCTCTCTTGCTTTTGAGAAGGGTGTTCTTTCCAGTGGGAAAAAATGTAATTGGGAAGAGCAGGTGCGTATTTGTCATGGGTTTCCACGTAAATAGCTTCTTTGTCTTACACATTTTGTTGTTCATATTGCTGTTACCATTCCTTTTGTTATCTTATTGTTGTTTCCAGTAAATTGGTCTTACTCATCCTGTGATTTTTACCTTTTGTGCCTCCATTCACATAGCAGGAAGGAACAAGGGGAAGCTGGGGGTGTCTTGGTGGGGGCAGGGAGCAAGCAAGTGGCATCTGGTTTGGGAGAGTCTTGGTAGGGGCACTGAACTGGGGAGTGCCATTCCTAAACTGTGACACCACCTTTGAGATAATCATATGCATCAATGAGATCCCCTCTCAGTGTTCTCCAAACTAAACAGGCCCAGCTCCTGCAGTCTCTTCTCACAAAAAAGATGCTCCAGACCCCCTCATCATTTTTGTGGTCTCTGCTGGACCCTCTGCAGTAGCTCCTTGTCTCTGCCATACTGAGGATCCCAGAACTGGACACAGCAGTCCAGATGTGACCTCACCAGGGATGGGCAGAGGGAGAGGGTCACCTCCCTTGACCTGCTGGCCACACTCTTCCCAATGCACCCTGAGATACCCTTGGCCCTTCTGATCACAAGAGCCCTGCTGGCTCAGTCAGCTTGTTACCCACTGAGACTCCCAGGTCCTTTGCAGCAGAACAGCCCCCAGGTTTTGTTTTGACCCTTGTTAATGATAATATTGGATTGTCTTGTAGCCCATAGTCTGCCAAATTCTTTCTGGTTGGTTTTCACTCTGGATGTGCCCTCTTGGTGTTTATTGGCTGTAATCACCACCTTGCAGTTGAGAGGAGAGATGGCAGCACAGTGCTCCTTTAGGCTGTCAGTGGTAGGTATGGCTGAAGCCAGACCATCAAGCTGCACCCAGGCAAGTTAAAGAGAAGCAGAGGTGCCTCTTGGAGCAGCTGTCTGGGGTTGCTTGTCTCCTGATGTTTTCTTACTGTGGTCGGAGACTTTTCTGGAAATCCTGGAAAGGAGCACAGTTTACTAGGCTCTGTGTAGGATAGCTGGGTGAAATGAAAAGGGGAATTTAGTTGGGGAAGAGATGATTTGTTAGTCTTGGGTTTATTGACTTTAATGTGAATCTGCCTTTCTGAAAATGCTGTTGGGAGAAGCAAGGGAAGAAATGCTGGTGATAGAATTTAAATCAAGTATCTCAAAGCAAAGAGCAGGTAAACAGCCTGTTTTAACTCACAAGTAGTTTTGCAGGTCTTGATGTAGAGGTCTTTCAGGAAAATCATCCCTGACAGGAGGCAGAGACCAGCAAGGCTCTGTGTAAGATCACTCACAGTAGAGCAGCCCTCAGAAGAGTTTTACCTGAGAAGCATGTATGCTGAACATTACTTTGACATAGGTGGCAGGTGTAAGATCTGAGATGTTACTGGGTTGTAAACTACAAGTCCACATTTCATGTGATAACAGTAAGACTTTCATAAAAGCAGGAGGCTGGGAAACTTTAACCCAAGTGAGACTGCCTGGAAATAAGAGCAAACTATGTGGAAGAGGGGAAAACTGACTATGTTTTTCATTGTTCTCTTATTTCAGGGTCTACACTGTGATTTTGCTTGTCTAATGTTCCATTATTTAGTGAACAGACCATCAGAAGAGCGAGTGTGTGAGATCATCATTAATGCTGTAGAAATTGAGCAGGTAATCCTGGTTGTGACAACATTGTGGGCAGCACAGGCTCAGTCTGAAGTGTGAAAATAAACAAATTAACTTCTAACTTTTGGGATTCCATGTTTGATACTTGGCTCAGGCTTGATTCCTGATGCATTACACCATTATTTCCCTTGTCCTTAATGGTGACAATAAGAGTCAGAGACTTTCTGATTCAGTTGTCAAGCAACTGGGGCAAGCTGAAGCTGGCAGCTGGTTTTCTCCTTAATGACAGGAAGGAGGAAAAACTGTCTTATTTTATATTGAATAGATTGGTTACAGTTGGAAGGGACCTACAGTAATCATCTAGTCCAACTGCAGCTGTCTCTTAGAGAGGAGTTTGTTTACATCTGTCCTTTCAGGATCTTTGTCTCTCCCTGTTGTATTCACATCTCTGCTTGTCCTCAGGAGAAGGCAGGGTCTGTTCTGGCCACGAATATCATGCTGTCTTCTGGCATTTCCTGAGGTTGATGTCAGGTTCTTTCATGTGAAGTGCTGCCCTTCTGCAGGCACAAGTTTCTGCATGGCTGAGTGTTTGGCAGGATTTTAGTTTAGCTTTCTTTCCTATTGTCATCTAACTACTGTGATGATGACAAATGCTCCTGCTTTGTCTCACAACACTGAGACAGGTATGTATTGGTGCCTGAATGTACACATGACATTGAGGGTTCAGCACTCATGTATATCAGTGCCCTCTAGTCTGTCATTCTGTAGTGGCTGGAAGCCAGGAAAACTGGTGATTTCTTGATCTATCCCTGCTCCCACTAGTATGGTCTGCAGGTTTACTGGAGTTGGAGCTTAAGCTTACACAGAAGCTTATGCTGGGGGATTGGAAAAATGCAGATTAGAGGGCCAGTGATCAAAATATTGTGCCTTTTCCAGAGTAACAGGCTAAAAATAAGGGAAGATACAAACATTTACTGAAAATAGAAGATATTTGTTGAATTTAGTGATGCAAGTTATTTATTCAGACAACGTTCTGGGGAGCCTGGAACATCACAAAGTATGTTACTGTGAAACACAGGTGTCTTCTCTCCTTTTTTTCTTCTTAATTTCATTTCTTTAAATGTCATGTGTATTTTAACTTCCAGGAGTTTCTAACTGAGGCATTACCTGTGGGACTGATTGGAATGAATTGCACCTTGATGAAACAATACATTGAATTTGTTGCAGACCGGTTACTAATGGAGCTTGGGTTCTCAAAGGTAAGAGATGCAATTGCCCCAAATGCTGGCCTGCCAGTGCAGCCCAGGAGAACTGTCAGCACAAAGCACTCCCTTGTCATGCTGGGGAGCAGGTCATATTTAGCACATGGACTTCCTGTGAGTGACAGCTGAAACCACAGCATTCATACCTATGCTTCACTGTAAAAGAGCAAGAACAATTTAGGCTTTTGTTTCCCTTCAGCTGCTCAGCAGGTTTGTAATGGGAAACGTAAGCTGTGCTCAGATGCTGCAGTGCTTGAAGAATAACAAGCACCTTGCACAAGTGAATTCCACCACAGACCAAACTCCTGGGAGTGGCAGTGCTGAATTTGCTTAGATAGGGGTCCACAGAGCCTACAGGATACTGCAGCTGGAGGTGGTCTAGTTTGAAAGAGTCTGACAGTTTGGTTTGTGGTAGGGTTTTTAAAGCATTATTTCTCTGTCAGAATCAGCAGTGTGTTTTCCTTCCCCAGGTCTTTAATGCAGAAAATCCTTTTGATTTCATGGAAAATATTTCTCTGGAAGGAAAAACAAATTTCTTCGAGAAGCGGGTTTCAGAATATCAACGTTTTGCTGTTATGGCAGAAACAATGGACAATGTCTTCACTCTGGATGCAGATTTTTGACAAATTGGCAAATGAATGGTGACTGTCTCCTTCTCCTCATCTCCCTTTATGCTGTGAAGTTGACTTAATTTCCTCTCGTGGAAATCAGAGTGTACTGGGATATTTTTCCTGGGTTTTCTTGTTGTTTGTCAGAGGAGTAAATATATTTCTCTCTGTGTCATTTGGAAAAAAAAAAGGGGATCATTTGTAAAAAAATTATATGGCTTTATAAAAGGATGGGCTCTTAAAGATTCCCTTGACTCATCTGCTGTCAATGCTGTCTTTAAAAATGACATGGAATGGATGCTACTAGAATGGATGCTACTACTTTTTTAAGACTTTGGTAGTGTTTTAAGAAAGCAAACTGCCTATTTACCTCATGTTATGGTATTTTAATCTGAAAACCAGCTGAGGTATCACTCCATGTAAAAATGTTGCTTTAAATTATTTTCCTTTTCCTGTTTTCTGTTTTCATGTTTATAGATTTGGTACAGAGTAAAAGCTCTTCTGTTTCATCCTGTTGCAGATACAGTAAAAATTAAATGTGGGAAAACCTTAATGAGGTCTGAACTATAGAATATTATTAAATCTGGGAATTATGTGTAATCTCCCCATTAACCTGGATTCTGTCTGAAAGAAGTTTTACATGGGTTGGAAAACTGATGGGTCTTGGTAGGCATTTAATTCAAATACATGTGATTCTTTTCTTACAGCTGTTACTGAACAGGTCAGTGGACTTTGAATGGTCATTGAAAAGGCACACCTGTTAACAGTGGAGAAAAACCACATCCTGTGGTTCTTTGGCTTGTGCTGCCTGTTTTTCCGTGCTTCACTGATCAAGTGCCTTATTAAGCAATCTGTAGTTGTATTTGTAATCATCTGACACTGAAACAGCCAGCTCTGGGTGTTGTCCATCTCCCCTTGTCGTGCTGGTGGTTTGATATTCTCCTCTTCTTGGTTGCACTTGTGCACTGAAGGGGTGAGAAGACATGTCATTCCAAGGGATTATTCCTTGAGGTGCTACAAACACACTACTGGGGCTGTAAGGAAGCACCCACTAATGTATGAAGGTACATCAGGTTGTGGGTCTGATGTGAATCATTGGAACCACTGTGACAAGATACTGAAAGAAGATACTAAACATTTCAAAAACAAACCCAGTAGTATGGAGTAGCAGCATCTTACAAAGGACTGTTGTTTGGTTTTTGATTGTGTGCCTGAAAACTGTAATTTTTGGATACCACACAGAGAGAATGGAGTGATTGAAGAGTGGTTAATGTGCTGCAGTGGTACTTGGGGTGGAAGGGATGCTATTCAGCTGTACCTGACTTATCTGCAAATAAATAGATTCCTTTTTTCCAAGATGAAGTGAGAATACAAGAGCTAGACAAAGGGTTCTGCTTTTTTAAACCCAAGCATTTTTCATAATATTCAGCATTTTGTGGAAGAGCTTTTGTAAGTCTTACTGTTGCAAATGTCTTGATATACCTGGCATGAGCCAAACTAACAGCCCAGGCCCAGCCATAGTCCTGGGTACCTGAGTTCCATGAAACAGGTCCACTGCCTTAGCATAGTTCCTAGTGAACAACTGTCCCTGCTGTAAAAATAAGTAGGAAAATTGACTCTGGTTTTTTTTTTGTCTCTGTAAAAGATGAGGAGTATGTACTGAGCATGGAAATGGAACTTATTTTTTTTCCTAGAGAAGAGCCTGCATCATTTGACGTAAGGTACTTGGAAGAGGGCAGAGTGGAACGTTCAGAATACAGAGAAAAGTTGGAACTGGTGGCCCTCACTAACATCCTGAAACTGCAAGAGAACTGTGGACTCAGAGGGAAAACTCAGTGCATTTTGGAAATACTGAGTTGATAGGGGAGAAAGAGAAAATACTGTAAATGGTTCTGTTGTTGGAGTAATGGAACCTATTATGTCACTGAAAGTACTAAAATGTATTTATTTTGAGTCTTGTGAATTATGATGAGAGTATGGAGAGGATTCTGATATGAAACTGCAATGTGCTCAGGTTCTGTAAATGTATGTGAGATACCAAAGTCTGGTACAACGGCTCCCACTCGATTTGTGTATAAAATACGTGTATCATTTCAATAAAATTTGAGTGTGGGGAAGCCCATGCCTTCATTTACAAGTTACATGCTTCCTTGTGAAATCCAAAGTGATAAATTTGGGATGTGACAGAGTAAGTCAGTATTCACAGCTTTTGGATTGTGGGAGAAAGTTATGAGTGCTCCATTTATTGTCTTGCACTTTTTGGAGCTTTTGACTTGCTCTTTCTTGTTCCTGGAAATAGGTTTGCAGTCTAGTGAGCAAACAAATGGGTTTTGTGTTTGTTTGGTTTGGTTTGTTTTTAATTGGGATTTTCTGGCACAAGGAGAAATCTTTTGGGAGTCTGTAAGGTTCAGTGAGGAAACACTCCAAAAATGTATTGTCAGTGGGTGGTACCTGATATATCAAGAGCATCATGCCCTTGTGGCAGGCACCCTGACTGCCTGGGCACAGCATCATCGGGTTCAGGCTGAGCTGGAGCCAGCCAGGCACCTGCCTGAAGCCAAACACTGGGCACCTGGGTCTGAGCTGGCACAGCTTCACACCTGCTTGTGTAGGCCCTGTCCGGGCTGTCATTTCAAAAGTCGTCCCTGCAGCCTCTTTGTGCCTCCTTGAGGCAAGCATGACGGGCAGAAGGCGCCTTCCACCAGCGCCGGGCACTGGGCAGAAACCCCATGGGCCTCTGAGGGCTCTGTGTGTCCCACACTGTGCCCATCAAGCTGATGGGTGTGTGTGGGAGAGAAGGTGGGAAGCATCCCTTCAGTGTGCATGGTCTGTGTGCTCTGAGCTGGCATAAAGCTGGTGTGTGACTTCAGTGCAACAGAGAAGGTGCTTCCTGGAGGTGTTTGTCTCGTGGTGAAGAACATGTCTGCAAGGGTCAGGTGAGTAGAAGCCTCTCTCTGGGGCCTGCAATAGGACCTGAGGCTGATGGGAAGAATCCCCCTTTTTAAATTCCAAAGTGGCCTCAGTAGTTCCCATTGTTCCCATTCAAGCAGATGTGCCTCCTGGCAAATCCCATGAGTTGGTTATCAGTAGCACAAGCAGACATTGTGCTCCCAGTGCTCTGCTCTGGCTGTGAAACCACTGCCCAGTGCAGCAGGTCAGTGAGTATTCCCAGCCCTTGCTGGGAAATAAAAGTGGGTGAAGACAGGGTAGTTAGCAATCTCTTCCTTAGTGTTTCTGGACTGGTAAGATTTTTGCAGTGGGTGAGGATGCTGTGTGTGTGGCAGCATCCTCAGAGCTGCAGCCAGCCCCTGGCCGGCTGACACTGCTGATCCACTTCCACCACATTTCTTGTCCTTGTCTTTGAGTGATGAAAGCTTTGAAAGAGCAAGCGTGGCCTCCCTGCTGGTCACCAGCCTGCCAGAGGAGCATCTTCCTTCTGGCCTTCCTAAGGGGATGATCTGGGCTGGTTTTTCCTCCTGGTGGAGCCCTTGAGTCAGCAAATGTTAATGTTTCTGTCAGTATTATCTAGCCCCTCTTCTGGGAGTCAGTCCCTGGCGATGCTGATGCGTTACTATTTCATGCAGCCGAGTTTGTGTTTGCCAGGAGGATGCTCCTGTGCCTGGGGCCCGCTGTCAGCACCACACACCGCAGGGATGCTCACGTGTGTGCACAGACCCTGCTTGTGTGTACAGGTGTGCACACCTGGCACATGGGTGTGCACGCACACCACACACGCACACCAGCATGGCTGAGGGGAGAAGCTGTTGAATGGCAGCTTTTAGCAAACCCTCTCCCTGGAGCAGAAGGGCAAGGTGGGCACTGTAATATTGCTGTTAAGAGATACTATTCCTGGTTTGCCAGCAGCTGCTGCCTTGCCCTGCTTCCCATGGCCTGGGCACAAATGGGCAGCGGTCCCATTCCATCGTACATAATCTGGCTCTAGGAACCAGGGCTGCCCTGGGGATAGAACTGTGCTCTGCTAACTTTAGCTAAAGTTTTTTCAGCCTGAAACGCAGGCAAATCTCAGGAATGGCTGGTTTTGGCCAGTGTGGAGCACGCATTTCTGCTTTGAACAGTAACTTTGGCATTTGGCTGTTTGAGTGTACTCCTGTGGGCAGGCTGGGGAGTTCCCTGTTGAATTTTGACCCTTTGAATGAGATAAAAGGATTTGTGAATGACAGACATGAGATTTCCATGACAGGCAGCAGTGCTGCCAATATCAGAGCTTCTTGTGGAGTGCTGCTGACTGGGGGCTCCTGCCCTGCAGATCCTGTCTTACAAATATGCTTGAGGGGCTTACCTGGGAAATGTCCTCCTCCTCCTACTTCTTTGGCCAGCACCATTCATCACTGCATTGGCTCTGATGTGGCTGCTGATGGGTTCACAGGAACAAATCTGTATCATCCATTCCTTTTTGTGCTGTAGTCCACTGTTTGTTACTGTTACTCTGGGAATGGCCTCCCATAATTGCTGCAGCATCTCTAGTGAGCTTGTAGGAGTAGGAGAGCTGTCACAGAGAAGTGCCTGGCATTAAGGGTGAGGTGTTGACTCCTGCCACAGGGAAAGGCCATCTTTGGGGCTTGTTCCAAGGCCTTGCCAGTTCCTTTAGGAAATGCCTCTTGCTGCAGAGGCAGGGGGAGGTCCTCACCAGCAGATAATTAAATAAGATCAACAGACTGATGGAAAGTTCTTTTGGATTCTTCCATGACTTCACCAGCAGGGACCGACTTTGGATTCTGTCCCTCTGGTGCTCAGTGAATGTCAGAAAAAAAATCTGTGCCAGCCCAGTGACAGCTGGATGTGATCTGCTCAAAGGCTATCCTTGAAAGTCTCTCCTAAATGTCATATTCTACTCCTACTCCTACTCCTACCACAATTAGGCCACTGGGATGCCATAAGCAGCCCTGCTGGTTGCTGCTGTGCCACTCTGTGTGATGGCTGGCAGAGTGCTGCTGTGCCCTTCCAGCTGCAGCTCAAGCTGAAGTCCTGCCTGGCTTGGACGTGGCTCTTGCTGGTCCCAGAGTGCAGTGCCAGAGGGAGAGGAAAGGCCTGCAGTGGAGCACTGGCCTGCCAGACTGGGGCAGATGCTGACCAGAGCCATGTTTGCTTGAGCTCAGAGGGAGCTATCTGCTCATGAGGCTGGTGTGGTTTTTATAAGCCCCTCAAACAAGGTCCTCTTTTAGGTCATCCATAAGTTACTTCTTTTGGTGAAGAGGCTCCCAAAAATCACACTGGAGGCTCTGGGTGGATACCAGAGAAGTTGGTGGGGTTTTTTTTTCTTGTCAATGGGCAGATCCAAGAGAAGTTAAGAACAAGTCTCAACATCCAAATACTTTTTACTGATCTGACAAATGCCTCTGGCAGTGCAGCCTAAGCTGAACTTGAGAGCTTCAGGGAAAGTCTGCCTCCCCATCACTATTCCTTAGCCCACAGACATGGCTCTGAAGAGATTATACTTGGGTTGTTTTGTGAGGAAATGCAAGAATCCTTTTCACAGCTGGTGGCCTTGCCATGCAGGAGGTTGTTCAGGCTCTGCTCTGGCTGTGTCTGCAGATCTGTTACCAAGCAGCTTGTCCAGGGCCCACTGTGTGCTGATGATGGTCACCATTGCTGGCCTCTGCCATGGAGGGTCTCCAGGAGGGGATGGGCTGTTTGCTGCTTCACAGACAGTTTTGAGAGATTAATTGAAGGCAGGCTGCTGTGGCACATCAGCCAGCTCCTGAGAGACTGAGACCACTCAGGGAAGGGCTGGGGAATCCTGAAGGCAGTGACATGCCTTGGGTAGGAAAAGTATGATAAGCAAAAACCGTGCTGGTGGCAGTGGGAGTGACAGCCTGTTCACTGCTCATTGCTGAGATGCCAGCAGCAGTGCCACAAAAGTCATCATCATACACAGGCTGGTGTGGTCACTCATGTCCTGCAAAGGCTTCCCTGAGGGCTTCATGACCCAGCTCTGGGGAACTGAACCCAATGGTGAGCAGCACAAACACTAACTAATAAATATCTAATAATAGTACTGAATAGTCACACTGCTGCTACCATCTGCTCACTTGGAAGTCATGGCAGAAGTAGCTTTGGGGGCCTGGAAAATCACAGGTTCTGGGAATATTTGCTGCCAGTGTTAAACATGAGGAGCCCAGAGCGGACCTGGGACACCTGAGCCCTGAAAGTTTCAGCCCCAGCAGGGCTGTTGCTGTTGTCACCTTGGCAGCAGCAATGCTAAGGACTGAGGTGCCTCTGCTCTGAGGCACAGCCCCTCAGTGGAGACATCCTCATTCCCCAGAGCAGGACCTGTGCATGTGGGCAAGCCCTGGCAGACACAGGAAGCTTCGGATCTCTTTGAAGAGGTAGCTTACAGCTTTGGAACAAGTGTGATTCTCTACTAAACCAAATGTTTCATTATTAGCTCTCCAGCATTTGAAAACATTTCTGTGGGCCTTTACTGGTTTATTTGCTACTGGGTTAACTTTTTCTGAGCTCAGGCCTGCTTTGGTCCTCACAGTATGGAGCAGGACTTGGGGTGTCCTTTGGGAAAGTGGCAGCTGTGGAGAAGCTCCTCCAGACCAGACCTGGATCCAGGTACACCTAAACCATCTTTTGATGCACAGAAGCTCCCCAATACCTGCTTCTCTCTCAGACATCTCAGCTCTCCAGGTGGGAGGAAATCTGGGTTGCTGGGACTATAGTGGAGAATGGGCATTAAATGAGGCTCCAGAAAAGCAGGGAAGTGTCTTTAAAATTTACCTCACCTGTTGAATTCCTCTTGGCTAGGTAACTATGGAGAAGATTTTCCATGAATTAATGAATTTAAGCCAGGTCAGTGAATAAAGGCTGTTCCAATCTTGGTTGTGGAGTCCCAGGGCAGTGATAAAACCCATGGTGCAGAGGAGTACCAGTTTAGAGTTGTTATAGCAAGCATTTCTGCCCCATGAGAAGAGGCTTGCCTATCAGTTATTGATTTCTTTTTTCTTTCAATTTGAAGGGAAATAGATTTAGATTACAACTTATTAGACTGACTGGAGAACTGAATGTTTTTATGACATTACTTCATTCACAGTGTGTGAATTGCTGGCTTCAGAGACAGGTGTTATGATAAGCCCTAACAGAGCTGCCTTGCTCCTTGCTCAGTCATCCCTCTGTC